GAGAGAAAAGTATTATTTATAAATGGATATTATTGATACAATTAAAATATAAACCAGTCCAAAAATTTGCAGCTCATGCGAAGACTGGGTGTATATACAGGTAGGGGTTCATCAATACCATAATGTATGACTATGGGGTGTAGTTATTTGAAAGGGCTTTTAGTGTATTCTGGTAAATTCGAAACGAGGCAGCAAACTTGCCAATTCTGGGATGGCGTGAGGCGTTTTAATCAATGTTTGCGAGAGCCAGACAGCCAGATTAATCACAAAGGGAGGTATCCGATCTTTGTGTAAAAAGTGGGGGGAATTATCATGTTCAAGTGTCATTTAATAGATGTGTTAATCTTCAGTGTCTCGGAAACACTGAGTGCGATATTGCTTAGATGTTGAAGAGAGCGATCAAGTTATACTATTGGGGGGTTAACAATGGGTAAAAAGTTTATCGTCAACAACCGAAGCTAAAACGTTGTTGCGACACCAAGTGGTTTTAAAATTAAAAAGACCAGCGAACGAGGATTTAGCAAGAAAAAACTCCTCTTTTATTTTCGAGCGGAGTTTAGCGGTAAAAATTTTAGAAGGGTCGATAGATTCATTATCGAAAACGAGTTTATTTCTAGAAGACCAAATTGCGAGGAGAGCTATATCACGGAGGGCAATTGCGGGCGAGTAAATAGGAGAAATTTTATGCTAGCAAAACCGATGACAATAAATTGTTCTAAAGAATCTAAATTTAAGTCTAAATCAAGATTTTTAATATGCGAAAGGACCGTGTCCCACAGAAGCGAAACTAGACGGCAATGCATAAAAAGATGTAGCGTAGTTTCATAATGGTTATTACAGCTGGGGCAAGAAGGGTTGTCAATAATTTTGTGCCTAGCTAAACTTTTTTCAATAAACACGAAACTTTTGGCAAGAAACATCAATAGAGGGCATAAGAGATACGAGATAAAAGTCTTTAGAAGATAATTTACAAAGCGGCTTTTTAATGTCTTTAATATGTGGAGTGAAATTAATAGAAAAGCCATCTTTAGGAGCAGAATTAGAACGAATGAAATTTTTCCATTCAAGGGGAAGGCATGATAAAATGGAAGAAAGGTCTTTAGGCTTAAATTTACTACCAACTAATTCATTGATAGCGAGTTCATGGAGAAAACCAGGGGAAAACTCGTAGGTAATATCTCTTGCATCGACCCAGTAGGGTTTGAGAGGTAGACTATCTTTTGCGATTTTAGGATTCAGAAAGAGGGGTTCGTTAAAGATTTCAGACATGTTATCTAGAGATCTATTATGGTCATTAGTAATAGCGAGATACGCACGGAGGGTGTGTTTATAAAAGGGAGGTAGTTTGTTTATTTCGCGGGACAGTAAATAGCATTTAAGAATATTTTTTTCGATTTTCAGATTTTTGTATTTTCCTATGAAATGGTCGAAGAGGACTTTCCATTTGCCTGTTTGTTTGAGGGCAACGAGTTTGGCTAGCCATGATGAAAGGAGGCTATTACATTCTTCTCTATATCGAAAACATTGAGGCCGCCTTTTTGATAAGGAAGTTTAGCTTGTGATCTAGGGATCGGGGGTCGTTTGCCGTTAAAAAAGAAATGCCAAAATTTTTCATTAAGTTGTTTGACTGCCCATTGGGGTATGGGAAAAACCGAAGCCTTATACCAAAGTGCAGAACTTGCAATCTGATTAACGACGACGACCTTCCCCCTAAAGGTCAAGTCACGCGACTTCCATTGATCTAACTTTTTTTTTTAAATTTGGAAACCTTAGGTTCCCAGTTCAGTTTATTCCTTACGATTTGCAATGCCGATGAGACCGCCTGTTGGAGCATAAACGTTGCCTAAGATCAATCTATTGTCATCGATTGAAAGGTCGATAACAATTAGATGGGCTGTGTCGGAAGTATGGCGTGAATGGATTGTGGTTTTCAATCGATCAGAAATTAGAATAGAGACACCCTTTCTATTATCTTCACCAAAGGAATGAAAGGAAGTGCCGGGCCATTGCGAAAATACATTGTTAACATTAACGGGATTAAGGTGGGTTTCTTGCAAGAATAAAATGTCAGGCTTAAGGCTATAAAGGTGACGTAAGATTGAATCTGAGCGACGGGGGTCATTCAACCCATTCACGTTGATACTCACAACACAAGCCATGAGAAAAAGTAAGAACGAAATAAAAACATTGAAAAGTAAAGCAAATTAAGGTTTTAATTAAGAGTTCTCACCAGTGGGTTTTTTACGAACAACGTTCTTTTCTGGGGTGGAAGGTACTGTTCTTTTGGATGTTTTTCTTGTGAAGTGGGCGTATTTGTTGGGTGCTTTGGTCAGTTTTTTGGTTGGTCTTTGTGGCTTTGGTTCCGGTGTTGAATCTTTTTTGTGAAGTAATGCTTACAGTTGTTTGGCTAGCGTTAGGGCTTTTGGGCGTTGTAGAGGTGGTGGGGGGTTCATCCTCGCTCGCTGTATTTGTTTTGGCAGATTCATCTTCAATTTCTTCTTCGTCCTCATTATCGCTGATAGGGGTTGGCTCGATTTGTTCTTCGATCTCTCCACTGTAACGTCTGCCTCGGGCTCTTTTCAGGGGAACAAACTTCAAACAGTCTTTTTTTGAGTGGTCAGTGGAACTGCAAAGGTAGCAGTGACGCATGTCTCTGGCAGGGCAATCCGAAGTTCTGTGTGTATCTGCCATGTAGATATTACAAAAAACAGGTTTGCCCCTGTAAGAGAGAGAAATTTTCTTGTTTCGCAGAATTACGAAGGGGGGTAATTCAGTGCCGCCTGAAGGGAAAATTGTAGCCAGGCGTTTTCCGTTATAAATGTTGGGAAAACCCTCCCAAGTTTGTTTCCAAACGCGGGTTACGGTGCCGTAATGTGAGAGAATGCTCCCAATTTCATTGTCCGAAATATCGGGTGAAGCGTCCAGGATGGTGATGAGTAAGGCTCTTCTTCTCACCGGAGTAAAAGCAATGCCAGGGTCATCTTCTGGGAGGGACGGAAATTTAACGAGTTCCTCTATAACCGTGTCAACCATGGAGGGCTTTGAAAAAATGATATTCCACTTACGTCTGCCAGGAAGCGCGGCGAGTGGCATAAGTTGTTGGACACAGTTCTCATCCTTGAATTTACAGTGGAAATAATGAATAATTTCTTTGTGGTCAGTGGTGTCGATGGTCTCGAATTTGGCCGCTTTTGCTGCTAGATCTGATGCAGACATCTTTGCATTTACTTGTTTCAATTTCTCTGCGAACGTAATAAGCCGCCTTTCTCTTTCATCTGAAGCCAAATCTCCCCAAATTGAAGGGATCTCGTTTACTGCAATTTCGAGTTTGGTTCAAAATTATCTCTCAAAGAGTACTACAGTTGAAACTGTTAAATTAAATACTAAAAACTAACCTATAAACCTGTTCAAAACGACGATACGCTTCAAACAGTCGGAGCTCGAAAAAGCGTGACTGGCCACGGCGCCTTCCTGATCACGTTCTCTTCCCCGTCAGTTAAGTATGAACTACCATTTTGGCCATTGACAACTCGGTGGTTGCAGGAACAAGCCGACACATGTGGGAATGCTGTATCAGTAGTCTCTGAATAGATCGATATGTTGAATATTGAGTGAAGAATGCTCAGTCTGACGAGGAAGATGATCAAGTACTGAAATATACTGAAATATAAAACTGATGTACTCACCATCCCTTTCGTGAAGAAAAACTAATCTTGCATTTTGCTCGATAAGTCGTGAGTCAGCCAACAGTCGTCTGAAATTGAAAATAAGCCTTGAATTTTTGAGCACAGAAAGAGGGGTAGCTAGAAATGACTGACTACTAAACAGGCAGGCAGGCAAAAAAGCAAGATCAGAAGAACACAAAAACACAACACGTTGAAGGCTTTGCAGTCTGTGTATATTTGATTAACAATCATAAATAAAACTATGTCTAGTACAAGGTTTAAACTACTTAACTACTATTGAAAAGCAACCAACTACATACAATGTTAGCTAGCTCCTAGTTAACATTGTAGTTAATTAGCCAGTCATATCAACAATATGGACTTGAAAGATTGCAACTGTGAAAATCGTTGTTTTCTTGCCAATTGATGAAAAGGGGCTGCAATGCCAGGGCAACCCGTGCTCGCGGTGAGGCAAGCCTCATGCCGACAAGCTAGTTCCAAAAATCAGTTTAATATTTGAGCGCCCTTGGGCGCATATCAGATATTAAGCTGATAAGAACAGATACTTTTTTTTTTTGAATTCCTGCCCTCTGATGACACAGTGGGGACAGGGTGTAACATTCATAATCATTTACAAACAACGTAACAATTTAAAGGGAGACAACTGCCCCTTTTGTGCATTGGGATAAATTTTGCATTTGGAAAGTACTTGAAAAGTTGGAAACCGATATTGCAGTAAATATACCCAAGGGGAGTCATAGTTTGCATCGATTATTGACTGAAGAAACTTGAGGTGAAGAGTGTTGGTTTTCAGGTGTAAGTCAACTACACCTTGATCACCCCTATCTGCAGGTTGAAACATTGTCTTTCTGCTGACTAGTTCATTTTTGCCAGCCCAGATAAATTGAAAAATAGCTCGATTAACTTGTTTTTTAATAAGATTAATTTGAGGGAGATGGTAGATGGTTCCTACAAAGACGAGGCCAGAAAGAGCAATTGTATTTATGATAAGGGTTTTTCCTTTTAATGAAAGGGATCGGTATTTCCAGGCTTCAAGCCTGTTTGTCAATTTTTCGACCGGTTTTATCCAACAGCTTTCAAGGGCTGTTTGAGTGCCAAATTCGAGTCCTGGTATTTCAAGAGCACTGTCGGTCCATTTTAAAGGGGAAGATGGAGAGGTGGAAATATATGGGGGCTTGTTGAACCACTTTCCGCAGGATTTGCCAATATCATAATTCACCTTTGATCCTGAACCTTATTCGTACAAGTTTATAGTGGCTATGGCTTCTTCAACGGAAAAAGTATTTCTTAGAAATAGGGTGGTATCATCTGCATATTGGGAAATTTTGACCTCTTTTCGTGAACCTGGAAGACGGAGGCCATCAATTTTGAGATTTTGACAGATGAGGCTGTCCAGGGTCTCCGCTACTATGCAATATAATAGCGGGGACAATGGGCAGCCTTGTCTTACCCCATGTTTAAGGGTTACTTTTCTAGAAAGATAGTCGTTGTTGCTAATTTTGCAAGAAACATCTGTATACATGGTTTTCACAAAACACATGAATTTTGAGGCCAAAACTCATTCTCTCCAAGACTTTTAGAAGAAAGTCCCAGTTGACACGGTCAAAAGCTTTTTCTTGGTCAATTTTAATCAATGCAAGGGGGAGTTTTTTCTCCTGGCAGTAATCAAAAGAATCTCTTGGCAGGATGAGATTTTCAAAAATAGATCTGCCTGGTACAGAGCAAGTTTGGTCACTATTCAAAATGGATGGAAGTATCGATTGCAGTCTATTTGCAAAGGCTTTCAAGCCTATTTTGTAATCAACATTAAGTAGGGAAATTGGTCTCCATTTTTTGAGGAGTTCAATGTCTCCCTTTTTGTACAAAAGGGAGATTATAGCTAAACGCATGGATTCTGTGAGAAGGCCTCCATTGAAACAAAAGTTTAGTACTTCTACTAAGGCTTCGCCAATTTCATCCCAGAAGAAAATATAAAATTCTGCTGGTAGCCCATCAGAGCCGGGCGATTTGTCGGATTTCATGTTGGTGAGGGCTTTGTGACTTTGGTCTGCGGAAAGTGGTTCTTCAAGTAACAATTTAAAGTTTTCGGGGACAAAACAATCAATAGTATTCAAAAGGGCATTCTGTTTTTCATTATTAATGGGTTCCGGGGAATAGAGTGATTCATAGAAGTTAGCAATGCAGCCAAGCAGGTCCCTACTTTCCTGTATTACCCTACCATCAGGTGTTTTAAACTTACGGATCACTTTATTAAACTGACGTGAATTTTCAAGGCTGAAAAAATAGCGTGAAGATTTCTCATTGGATTGGTTTTCAAGGGCTTTTGCACCATTAATATTATTAAGATCGAGTTCTTCCATTTTTTTGTCTAATCAAGGAAACAGTTTCTTTTCCCTTTTGATCCAGAGAAATTGTTTCCCGTTGGAGCTTTTCCTCCAAAGTGGTGCGCTTCTCTCTCTTTTCTTTTGCTAAGCGTTTAGAAAACTTTTTGCATCTGTTTCTTATTTTCATTTTACCAATATCCCACCAAATGTGTAGTTTGCCTGCGAAGTCTTTTTTGCGAGTAATCCAAAATTTCAAAAAATGTTTCATATTAGAGGTAAATTCTTTATTTTCTAGGAGGCTAGTATTGAATTTCCAGGTACCTCTGCCACCGGGTTGCGAATTTGGCAGTTTAAAGGACAGAAACGGGGCATCATGGTCGGAAAAGGGGAACACTGTTATCTCACAGTGTTTGGTATTGGCCAAAATTTCAGAAGAAACGTAGAACTTCTATTGTCTAGATAATACTTTTGAATTTGTCCAGGTAAACTTGCGGGTAGAAGGGTGCATTGAGCGAAATATATGGATAAGGTTAAAGTCCCTGAGAAGGTCATTGAGAGCTTTTATGGCAGTGGGACCTGCTTGGCTGTCACCGCCTAGTTTATCGAGAAAAAGGTTAGTGATACAATTAAAGTCACCTCCGATGATTGTTGGAACTGCCCCCCTGATGTGAGGGCGCAGCGTTTGAAAAAAAGCAGCTCTTTCTCCTATGGGGCAGTGGTAACACCTCTGCTAGTGGTGACACCTTTGTTTGCTATGTGGTAACATCCTTTCCAGATGGTTTTAAGAAAGGATGTTACTACATAGCAGCCTCAGAGAAGTAAGTTTCTTGCAAAAAGAATATGGATTCCTTCCTAGTTTTAAGCCAGTCCACTACATTTGAGTATTTAAGCGGGTCCCTAAGTCCATGAACATTTATTGATAATATATCAATGTCTGCCATTCCTCACAGCGGGAGGGGAGTTCCAAAATCATTGGCATTAAGAGGGGGCAGGGTGCCGAGCTGAACGACCCTTCGGCTTCTTCTTGGTAGAGGGCCTCCGGACAGCAGAAATGTCAGAGACACTGTTGTCCTGGAAGGACCTCTTAGAAGCCGCTGGGGTGCCAGCATAGGCAGAGGATTTGGTAAAAATAGGCTGGGGAGAAAAGAAAGTCAGAGAAGGGCACATACCATCTGGTGAAGGCGTTGCTGGATCATACCAGTTCTTCACTGCTTGGCCGTTTTCGTCTTGAGTAGTGGAGTCCTGGGTACTAGCTGACTCCTCGGGAGCAGCGATTTGGTGATTATTGGTACCCATGTCATCACCCGACGATGAGCAAAC